TTCTAGTCTCATATTGTTGTGTTTGGAAAAGATGTTTGATAAGATTTCAATCTTCTTCAAATTACTGAGATTTTTTTGGAGGGCTAGCATGTGATCTATCCTGGAGAGCGTTCCAAGTGCACTTTAAAAGAATGTGTATTCTGCTGCTTTTAGTAAGAATGTTCTGTGTATGTTTGTTAATTCCATCTGATCTAATGTGTCATTTAAGGTCAGTGTTACCTTACTTTTTGTCTGAATTATCCATCCATTGATGTAAGTGATGTCTTAAAGTCCCCTGCTATTATTGTGTTACTGTCAATTTCTGTCATTATGTTTGTTAATATTTGCTTTATGTGTTTAGGTGCTCCTATGTTGGGTGCATATAAATATACAATTGTTATGTCTTCTGGTTGAATTGATCCCTGATTCTTAGGAACTGTCTTTCTTTGTCTCCTATTATAGTCTTTGTTTTAAAGTCTATTTTGTCTAATATAAATATTGCCACCCCAGCTTCCTTTCATTTCCGTTTTCATGGAATACCTATTTCCATCCCCTCACTTTCAGTCTGTGTGTGTTTTTAAATCTGAAGTGAGTATCTTATAGGCAGCATATATATGGATCTTTTTAAAAATCCATTCAGCCACTCTATATCTTTTAACTGGAGCATTTGGTCCATTTACATTTAAAGTAATTAATTATAGGTATGTACTTGTTGTCATCTTGCTAATTGTTTTCAGGCTGTTTTTCTAATTTTTATTTGTTCCTTTCTTCTTCTTTTGCTCTCTTCCCTTGTGATTTGAGGACAATTTTTATTTAACATTATGTTTGGATTCTCTTCACTTTTTTGCATGTGTACCTATTATAATTTGGATGTGGTTACCATGAGGTCATATATAACCCCATATATATGATTATTTTAATATGATATTTTAATATGATAATCTGTGTGTGATCTGGGGGTAGGCTGGGTCTTGTTGGCGAGCAGAGCTGGGTCCATGGCCCTATTAAGCTAGAAGGAGGATTCCAAAATTGTGCTTGCCAGTGCCAATGTTTTTCCATTGGAATGAGCTGACAATAATATCTGCTGCTAGTGTCTATATCATGAGCGGGAGTTCCATTTGCCTCCTACCCCTCTGGGAAGATATCCAAGATCAGGAAATGGGTCTGACCAAGGCTTCTTTCAAACTACTGCCTCTGCACTGGGTCTCATAGCATGTGAGATTTTGTGTGTGCCCTTTAAGAGTGGAGCTCTCTTTCCTATGTCCCTCTGGCTTTCCTGCACACAAGCCCCATTGATTTTCAAAAACAGATAATCTAGGGGCTCATCTTCCTGGCACACGACCCCCAGGTGGGGTAGCCTGATGTGGGGCTTGGACCCCTTGCTCTTTGAGGACGACATCTACAATTGTGATATTCTATACTTTTGTGTTTTGCTGACTGGTGGGTTGTGGGTCTGACTATGTCTTGTCTCTACCCCTCCAGCCCTTCTCGTTGTGGTTTCTTCCTTATGTCTTTGTGGAAAATCTTTTCTACTAGTTTTCAGGTTGTTCTCATAGAGAGTTGCTCTGTGAGTAGTTGTAATTTTGATGTGTCCATGGGAGGAGGTGAAGTCAGGATTCTCCATCTTGGCCACCTCCATAGGCAGTGCTTTTTATAAAATTACATTGTTTAGTTTTGTTTATTAAATAATTACATAAATAAATATCAGAATTTTGATATGTTATCCCACTCTCATTGCTCATCATGAGAATAAATAATTTCATTTATAAGCTGAAAATATGTGATTGATGCAAAAATAAGTTATTTTACACAAAAGTTGAAATTTTAGAAAGCACAAATGTAAGTAAGAAGACAGTGGAAAATCAAGGATAAGGAAAGGATGCTTATGTTAATACTTGTCTCAAAATCCAAACCATGCTGTTTGGAAGAGTGCCCCCCAAATGGTAGTAAAATGCACATGCATTTTTTTTTTTTTGGCTGCACCACAGCGGCATGTGGGATCTTAGTTCCCTGATGAGGGATCGAACCTGTGCGCCCTGAAGTGGAAGCATGGAATCCTAACCACTGAACTGCCAGGGAATTCTGCACATGCATGTTTTATATTGCAATTATGACTTTTTGTGATTTGCTTTTAATTAATATTAATATTTATCTCTCCAACTAGAATTTAACTTTCAAGAAAGAAAAGATTGTGATTGTTTTTCTTTTTAAAGTCTCATTAAATTCTTAATATTTAACATAGTGCTTAGCATATTATAGGAATTAAGCAAATATTTGTTGAATAAATAAATGTCTATGTCTTTTGGCTTAAAAATGACAAAAATTAATACAAAAGACTCTATTTCCATGAAACTCAAACACAACTAATAGATGTACAATGGTGTAAAAATGACTTTAACAAATTTATTACATCTCTGTGGAAAATTTTTCTGAAATTTAATTTTTAATTATATTCCTCTATGGAATGTCCATTAAATATTGCTTTAGGATAGATTTACATATTCAAGCCTTATTATCTATAATCCTTTCACTTTATTTGTCCTTTCTGGGTGTTCTCCTGTTTAAATAATTTTAAGGGCATTCCTTGAAATGGACCTCTCCCTGCCACTTCAACCACCTCTGCTCTGGCAGCAAATGCAGGAGAAGACCCAGCTGCCAGGGCCTTCTATCCACATGTCTTACACTACAGGTTGGTGCTTAGGTCTTCTCTTTTTATAGGCTTTAACCCAAGTAATATTTTACCTACAAGTCTTCTAAAGTTAGAAGTTGAGATTTATTGCACTGAATTTGTATTCAAAATATTGGACGAGAGGGAGATTATACATATGAGACATGCTCAGGGCCCTATACACTGTTTGGAATCACCATGTGTTGACCTCTGCACCAAGTAGGTGTCATGGTATTGACTAGAATTACCTGGTAAGCCTGAATTCAGTTTGAGTACACTGGTGGTGAGTGAAATGTAGGTAGGTTGAAAGCTGAACAATTTAAAAAGTACATGTCAAAAGAAAGTTTGGAGACTAATAATAATATTTCACATTGTATAAGAGCCAGCCTTTCCATCATTTCCTAAGCTAATGACAAAATTTATCAATTTTATAACAATAGCACTAAAAGACTAAAAGTTAAATGTTCATTGGTAACCATTTATTATGCATTGATGTAAAAATGCATCCATAGACCATCTTTTCTTTCTTTTTGATAAGCTCATATTACATATTTTTTCTAGTAAAACAGAAGTCATCACTGCAGCTCAAGTTATAGATCTTTATATGGTAATTATTTTTCCTGTTTTCTTCCTCCCATGCAGGATTTAATAAGTGGTATTAAGGTTTTCCTTTATCCAAAATATTCTTGCTAAATAAAATTATTGTTAAATAAAATTTCCAAACATTTGGTTAATTGCTTTAAGAAAAGTTATTTTTAATGTCACACATGGCTATAGTTTACTAAATCTAAAGAAATATGTAATTTAATGTTTCTTTTAAAAAAATTTTAGCCTTGTGAAGAGTAATTAGATGCTTTTAGAGATTTTCTATATGTGAGAATAAAATTTCATTATCTGAGGCTTACTATCAAAAATATAGTAATAGAAACCAAACAAAAGAGACTAAGACATTTAAAAACAAAATTGAACAGAATTTGAATCTGATAACTGTGGTATACTAAAATTAATCCAAGATAGCAAAAATTCAGCCAACACAGGCAGGGGACATTTGGAGACTTTGGAAATAGAATTGCTGTTTCTCATATATTTATTTAAAAATGTTGTTTTGTTCAGTTGTTAAGATTTCCTAAATAAACTAGATTAATATTCAAAATTGAATTTAAAAATAATTAGTAAAATCATGTAAAGTGGGAGCAGTTTTTTTCTATGTATAGTTAGTGAGGATTGTATAGGAGTTAGAACTTTGGCAGATAGAGAGTAGAGGTTGAAAATAAATTTACAAAACTAATAAAATGCCTAGAACAGTAATTAACAATTATTAACACAATAACAACGAAGCTGTTTGTGTTTGAATTTAACAACACACTTAAGCCAAAGTCGAATTAATATAAAAATAATATTCAGTGAGCTGATATCTGACATAAGGTACAATTTAATGTTCCCATTGAAGACCTAAGTTATGACAACATCTCTGTGGTGTGCCTTCTAAATATTTTATTTCTCAGTTGTGTCAAAGGCAGCTCATTGTGGCCTAATAAGATGTCAGTCAGAATATTAACAATATTTCTTAAAGTAGAACACTACATTTCTCCTACCACACCAGATAAAATAATTTAATATATTTATTTTAACAAAAGGCCCATAGTTACTAACTCCAAACTATATAGTAGTTTTTTTATTTTTCACATTTCTAGTACTATCTATGGTTCTTAAAGATATCTACAGTTGATATTTGAATTGTCATGCTATTATTGAAAGGAACAATGCTTATCCTGAAAGTTTTACCGTAATTCACCTCTAAAATTGACTTTATGTGGAGAAGTTTCATCATAAAATATATCTACTATTTATATAGGTCAAGATTGATTCTACTACATTTTGTAGAACAAACACAGATTTTTATATCAAACAATCTGGGTTTTAACATCTAACTTTACACTGTGACCCTGGGAACATTATATGCCTTCTTTGAGCCTCAGTTCCTAAACCACAAAATGAGAACATCACCACAGTTCTCAAAGGGTGGCATAAAGGTTAAAAAGAGCTAGTGTATGTGCCTAGTACTGGGCTGGGCACAGTGTAGTATATTAGGTGTTAATGTATTTTTCTCCTCTAATTCCCATTCCCAATATTTTGGCTAACTGGAGATTAGTGAAAAAAAATATAGAAGAGTTACTGGAATAAATCAGCTCCACTAAAAAGCTCATTATATTGCAGGCGTTAGTTATACATTTCCAAAGTAACATTCAGTAAGATCAAAAGATTGGTTTTAAAAATGTATTTACATAATAAAATTCATATGCAAGAAAAGATTTCCAAGGCAACAATGACAAAAAAAAACCAAATAAGCTAAATCTGTATGTATAGTTTAATTTTGTAAAATGAAGAAAAATTCTCAATTTTATTAAATGTTGAATGTTCATGGACAGGTAACAGAACAAAAGCTACTTCATATAGCAATCTATATCAACATCAAAAAATATGAAAATAGAGTTTCTCTGAAGGAAGGAGCCTTTTTAAAATGGGGTTGATAATAATTAGAAGTTCCCATTATTTGTCCATGAAACGTCCTATGAAAGGTGCTACTTTAAATAGGATTTTAGTAGAAATTGGCACGTAAGTTTAAACTTTTCAACCACCCACTACTTTTCACCTCCTTGTAACTCCACTCATTCAGACAACCTCACATATACATACATTAATATTTTTTTAAAAACCTGCCTTTAAAGCAGAAAATTCATTTTCTACCATAAAAGCAGGTCACCATACTTATATCCAATGCTCTCAGTCACAGAAATGGATTTTCCTCATAGAAATGCTAATTAACATACACTATTATGTTCAACTTTTCAAAAGTTGTGTCTCTTAGGAGGATCTGCTCGATCATGTGAAAGAATTCTAAGGCAATATAAGCAGTTGTTCCACAGGACAAGTGTTGCCCTTGCAATGATATACTCTTGATACATTAAGTCTTTAGTCTTCAAGTGCTACCAGCCAGACAGAGACATTCATAGTCTACAGGTGGTTGGCTCAAAGGTCAAAAACTTTGTTTAAAAAAATGTTTATGGACTAGCACCATGAAACAAATCCTTTTTTTTTTCAACATTGCATTTAAAAAAACTGATTTCTAGGAAGAGAAAGAAAGAGATCTTTCAATTCTAACAAGGCCTACTTCCACTTCATTTCATTTCATTAAAAAAAATACATTAACAATGACAACATCAACATTAACTACAACAGATCAACAACAAAAGAATGACAATAGCAGCAGTGGAACTTGAGTATGAACCATCCAGGCAGTCGCTTAGAAGAATCCTGTTCACACCTGTTGGGAGTTGTCTCATCAAGTTCATAAGACATCACAAGCCTTCTTGAATTTGGTATGAAAAGACAGCACTTTCACTGAAAGAACTGAGTTTACCAATCAATTGGGCATTTTCCAGCACTTAAATAAATGATATCTAGAGTTAACTGCAATGATAGACAGTACTGACATTTCAAACTTGTCAGAATGTCACAAAAACGACATGGTCTCGAGATCATTTATGTTTCAAAGAGGTAAATTTAGCCTGCAAGTGAAAATAATGAAGCTGAAATATTCCAGTTTCCAAGCATTGGTCATACCCACATTTAAAGTATAAACCACCCTCAAGAGACTTCCACTTCACAACAACTTATATGGGTCTGGCTTACACTGTCTTCAAGATCCAAAGTCAAAGCAATTATCCTAAGATACAAGGAGAGGGTATTCCAGTTTATGACCTGCAAGGTCATTTTACTTTTCCCATATATTGAAAAATTGTCAAAACGGACACTCTGCAGGGTCACAGACCCTGAATGGGACTGTCTGAATTGTGAAGCAGCTATGGTGAGCTGTGAACAAAGGATTGTGAAGTCTTCTTTGAAGCATGAGATGCCCTTTCGCCAACTTTATTTATATTTATACTGTCAAGAATGAAGTTCAGATATCCTGGTAATGTTGATCAGGGTTAGCTGGAAACTTCTCTTTTAGTACAAAGATAATTCTGGTCTTGCAGTTTTCTTCTGCTCAAACTCATTATATAAAACTTTGTGCTAAAATCTTCATTTAAAAAAGAAATACATCTTCTTTCCATTATGCCCATTCCTTTATGTTTTGATGGAGGTTATGGTGTTAATTTTTGGTATGCGTGGTATCTGGATATCTGATGCTTTTGTATCTTATATGAAATCCTTTCTTGCTGATTGTGTCATCAGTGTGAAAATGAATTAAAACTGTATCACCAATTGAATAGATCTCTTCTGGTGGCTGAAGACAAAAACAAACAAAACAAATAAACAAACAACAAGAATGAATTATTTTTTCTTCAGTGTAATTCATGTTTGGGAATTTTTTTGGTATATAATTTAAACCTCCCAACAACATTGAAAAGTGGATAAGAGTGACTTTATTTTACAGATGAGAAAACTTGAGTTTCAGAGAACAGATGACATGCTCAAGATCACAAGCCTGATCAGTGATATAGCTGAGCTTTGAACATAATTAAGTTTATTTCCAAGTTCTGAAACTTGGTGTTTTTTCCCAAAATTTTAAGCCAATTTCCTTTGATTTACAAGTAATTAAAGTGAGGTTCACAAAGGATAAAGGGACATTAAATCTATTTCAGAAGATGCTCTGAGGCAGAGCCACTTCCAGAATCCAAATCATCCATTCCTTCTTGCTTTAATAATCTAAGTACCAAGAATAATTTTTGTTTCATTTCAGTAGCTATTTGGACAGGAGTTCAATATTATTTAAGAAATGGTCACTGGTAGACATTTGAAAAATGGGACTAATATCTTCAGAACAAAATATGTATTCAGAAGAACATTTGATATTAATGCAGTGAATCGTGGGGGAAAAGCATTGAGAAAACCTTAAGCTTTCCTGTTTCTTATTTCTCATGTTGACAACCTCTGACCTATGTTTTGTACTCCGTCCTGTGCCCACTGCAATGGAGCAACATTCAATAGTACCGGCTCTACCCCCACACCAATGGTAGATACTGTCACTTATCAAATATATTGTTGAGAGAGGAATGCCAATGATGTGCATATTCTTTTTGCTTTATGCTTTAATTTATGAAGCTTACAAAATTGTCAAAGGTGTGTATTTAGGCATATTTCTTTTAGATAATTAAACATTTAAATATTTATTGCACAATAAAAACATGAATTAAAAAAGGATGTGGACAGTAACAAGAAATTATAGCTATTGAATTCATCTGTCTTGTTCAATATTATTGAGCAAATTCATTAGAGATGGAGAAGTAAGGGAAGAAGAGGCATGTTATAACTTGTCAAGCCATTTTGTAAAAGCACTGCTGATTTGCATATGTTACACATATCAATCACCAATTTATAGGCATTTTTATCATGTCTATGGTATCCTGCTCGTACTGTATTTACCCCTGATCCACAGAATCGACCAAGCCCCACCGCTGTTGAATCGAGACCGTCAAAGAGCTCAACATAGTCATAGCCACAGTCGGCTTCTTCTTCCACTTCAAAAATCTGGAAGGATAACTCGAGTCGAGAGCCCCGTTCTGACACTAACAGCCATTCACAGTCAACTTGTCCTGGATAGTTGTTATCACCAAACTGAGCATGTGAGTACAGATCTCTGGGTTTTGATTCCACTTTCAGTCTGCCACCACACTCTGCCCAGGAAAGGAAAATGAAATAAGTGAGCTCAATGAGGTTTAACAATTTAAATTTCTCTTTTAATATAGTCTAACCACTCTCTAACTTCTGTATTCATTTCCACCATCAGTTATGTTCCCTATATTTGAAGATTCAGATGGCATAGTGGGTACTGTTATAGGCCCTAAAGAGACTGTTGGGTTGGAATTTCAGCTCCATACCTACTAGCTCAGCGACTTTGGATAAGTGACATCACTTCTCTTATCCATAGGGTAAAGCGGTCAAGAGTAAAGTGCAGATGATAATAATAGTACCAATCTTAGTGGGTTTTGAGGATTTGACTAACACACAAAAATCACTTAAAACAGTACCTGCCATACAGTAACTCTCAATGCATTTTTTTATTGTTATATCTCATGTTGTTTTCAGTCTTAAATAACTGTTTTCGTGGAAAAAAGGTCTGTCTTAATTTGAGTTTAATCTTAATAATTTAAGAACCCAGGATCCAAAGGAATAAGAAATAACTTAAAGATCAGCAAAATATATAAAACTCCTGTATGTGTATATGTGTCATATAGAACTCTCTGCATAGAATATGCAGACCAGTATTACTTTACTTAGGTAGAAATATTTATCTAACTTGGTTGGGAAAAGCATACACACATCATTAATTGTAGTTATTTTTGTAGTTCCAGAACCTTGTCAGTTATATTTTGTGATTTTAATAAACAAAGGAATTTAAAATGCTCTTTTTATGGCTTTTTCAGAGAGATATTAATAAATATAGGCTTTACCAGTTACTACTTTTGTAATTAGAGGTAAATATACCAAAGAAATATATAAGCCTGCATAAAGTTTACAGTTAGTGTAATTTAGAGAATACAAATTTTCAAAATTTTCTCAGGAACTCTTTGTAGTCTGAGCCCCCAGATTTTACAATGACTAGAGAATAAATTGTAGAGGAAGTCTACAATGTCTCCTCCAACCAAGTACATATACAAACATATGGCTGGGGTAGAGAGAAAAAGAAAGGGATATGAAAAGTGTCAGGAGAAAGTAGAGTTTCTTTCTGCCCTTATTTGCCAATGATTGAGAGGTTCCTGGGAAACAGTTATTTCAGTACTAAAACCAGGAAAGTCCCAAGAAAACTGATATGAGTTGGGAGGGAACAAAAACAAAAATCCAATGTGGAAAGATTTGGACAGCTAAGCCTCTGGTTATCAAAACACAATTGTAACCCTGGTGTGGTCATCTGTGACCAGATTGTCCTTGGCAGCACCCAGTGAAAGTGAATTAGGACAGCTAAAATTCTTAGATTTTTCAGATTTGTATATAATTTACCTACATTGTGGTTTGGTGATTTTAAGTAAAAAAATATTTCTGAATTCCCAGGATGGAACCCCATCTAGATGTGTCTGAATACAAGTAGGCTCAACCAAAACTATGGGCATTTTCACAGACAACTGCACATTCAGAGACCTTTGCGCGACTAACATATGAAAGAACTTCCAACTAGGGTTTCAATCATGAGAATGGCTTCCCCATCATGTTAAATGATGTCCCTTTGTCTTCCAGATGGTAGGTGGGGTGTCTTGCACAATCTATTTATGTAGGTGCCACAATTACAAATGTAAACATGTGAAGAAACACATGTGCTTAGAACCACTCTGGAAAGCTGCAAATCTGATCAGTCTTGGGAATCATCTCTTAAGTGTCACAGACTGGAAGGCAAGCATCCTTCCTTTCCCACCACGGTGCTTCTCTTATTCCAGTAATTCCAAGAATTATTGTCCTCTCCGTGTGACAGAACTCCACAGCTAACTGGCCTGGGTACAAATCTGAGCTCTATGCTTCATCAGCTGTGGGATTTTGTCCCCCACTTCATTCCTAAAGTGGGGATCATACATAGTACTTAAATGATAGGGTCTAGATGAAGAGTGATGGGCTAATATATGTAAAATCATTGAAGGATACCTTGCACATAGGAAAAGCCATATAAGTATACACAATCATCATTTTGTTATTATTTTCTAGTCAGAATATCTAAATGCCACCATCTATACTCCTAGAGATCCACTCAGGCATGAAAAGAAAAGCCAGAAAAATTGAAAAACAATTTAAAGCACTATTAACCTGTTTTCAGAAAGGAAGGATTATATTTTTGAAGGCCAGTAAAATATTTTGTGAAAGTATTTCTGAATTCAATATATAAATGTATAAACCAGTGTAATCTCATTTACAGATATTTTAAAAATTTGACTTATTCTCAAAGTTTAATATAATTCAGTGATTTGTTTTGTTTACAACTGTCAGCACTTGTATTACTTTTATTCCACAACCCAGGAAGGGGTGGACTATGGGAGAGGCACTGGCTTCTGTGTGCCTACTTCAGAGAAACAAAGTAGCAAAGCAAATCAGGATCCAGAGGAGACAATTCTCTGTCAACACCAGATCAGAACAGAAATCAAGAAGGAAATGAAGTATTTAAACAAAACGAGATTTCACAAAGCCTTTGTGAATCTGAAATGTGAGGCATCGTTATTTGATTTTATTGAAAACTTCTAGAAAATGACAATACTCAAAACAAATGACTTAAACTACAATTAAGAGTGACTTAAAATGTTTCAGAAAGGGTGGCCCTCGTTTTAATTTGGAAAGACTTCTGTTCATTTCCTGGTAAAGTGTTAAATCCCTGTGAGGGCCTGTAATTTGAGCAATAAATGCTTTTAGTAGGCACTATAATTTAATTAAGTTCTATCAAAATAATTTCTAAGGAGCCTAATAATATATTATTTGATTTTTAAATTAGGATGATGCTTTCTGCTGCAGAATAAAGTCCTACCTGACATGCCATGTTTTAAAATATTTTCTCTCCACACTCCCCCTCTTTTTCTGTATTATAGCCTTATCATATCTGAGAGAATATATAGGTTATTTTTTTTTACTGAGTTTTTTTCTTCAATAGTTTATCTAAGGCTGGCCTAACACCATTTGTTACCTGATTAAAATAAATTTGGACTTTTAGAATTTGGACCTACCTTTAGAGGAAAAAGGGACTTTTTCCAGCAAAGTCCATTTCCCATTGATTTGGATAGTATTACTTGTAAAAAAAATAGCTATAAAGCAATATTAATATTTCTCTTCACCTAATTTCAAAATTTGTAGTATTATAAGTTTTCCTTGTGGATAAAATTAAAATTGTATATAGAAATATAAATGTACTCAAGCAAATTAAAATGTATACTTCAGGGCCCCTTAATAAAAGTTACATGTATTCTAGAAAACATTAAATAATGAATAAATGCTTTATACATTTAGCAGAAATTGACAGATGTGGTACTGGACTTGGCTGTCTTGGTGGTAAAAACTGACTGAAAATCATAAGTTTAACTTATCAGACTATAGCTGTCAAAAGGCAGGAATTCCTTCTGTTTTCTCATAAGTTACCACAAAATTCCTAATTCTTTGCTATGAATTACTAATACTTTACAGTGTCTATTCAAAGCAGGTACCAAATAAATATTTCATGAAAGACTGTGGAATAAACTTGTTAAAGAGAAAACTTTCAAAAGAAATAAATAGTAAGCAGTACATAAGAATATTTCAGCATGTATGGCTACTTGAAAGTAACAGTGTAAATAAACTCTACCCAGAAAATTCAAAGACAGCTGGTTAAGTGAGAGAAAAAATTTACATGTAAAATAGACAAGCAAACAAACAAACAGGTAATGCCAAAAATTTTGACTAGCACAACTGAGCAGGAGTTGGGAGGCTAGGACTCTAATTCTAACTATTATTTTTTGTGCTACTTCAGTTTCATTTGAGTCTTAGTCTCAAAATCCTCATTTCTGAGATGACAGGACCGAATCATGTTTTGCCTACAAATTATGATTGAGGCTGATCATGTGGGTATTTGGCTGGATTTGAACTGAACAGAGAGAAAAAATGAGCCTATTCAGTTGGATAGTTAGGACAGAAGATTTGATTAAGACAAATAAGGAAGCATTCAGTCTCTATTGTTTCAATTAACAGTGATCCAGTTTTGTATTGGTTTTCTTCCTAATCCAAAATGTTTATGTTAAGAAAAAATATACCATAGTAGAAAGTGCATGAGCATTGGAAACAGAATTAGGATAAAATCCAGGCTTTGATATAATTTTAGAAGTCTTTGCAAATTAATTAATCCTTCAGATTTTAAATTTCTTTATCTGAAGATAAAGATAATAATTCATACATCATATAGCTCTTTTGAGAACTCAATGTATGTAATTTATATTAAGTATATGTATGTGTCTGAAATATCAAGTGCATGCTATATATACAATTGGATTTCAATATATGATCTCTATGATAAGATAATTAGATCCTAACAGTGGATCCTAAATGGTAATACAAACACTGAAATGGGTCCAGAGCAGAGGCTATGAAAATTAAGGAGTCATGGAGTTATACAGCTGCAAGAAAACTTGAGATTTAAGGTAAAGGTAAAGATGAAAAGAGAAACTATAAAAGTAGGTTTTTATGAAACTAAGACAGAGGAATTTATAGGTAAGTAATTTAAAAATAGTGTATCAGCTCTTTCAAGAGTTTTGATAATATACTTTTACACTCCATTCTTAGAACCTGTGACAGCCACGATTATTTAAAAAATTGTGCCATTAACTCTGTGCTTCAGAAAAATATTGATCAAGTCATAGGACTCCAATTTTTCCATTCCTTCAATGTGTGACAAGTTATCAGGAAAATATTTAAAGAACAAACATCAAGTGTATAAAAAAATCCTTCATTAGTATGAAAATTTTAATCCATGAAAGATTTTTCTCGAACCAGAATATTTATATTAATCATGAGAAATAATTATTTTGTATTATTTATGAGTCCAGTCATTACTAGCATGAATCAGACAATATCCACTTTCTCACAAATAGGCTTCAATATAAATCTAATGCTCATAACAGAATATACTAGAGTGGAAAATAATATTGGACAATGGAATAAAGTTATGTTTTCTAAAATAAAAGGAAAGGAGAAAACAATAATCAGGAAACCATGACAAAAATTACTGCACTAAAATTGTTTCATTGATGAATTTGTAGCCTATTATATACTGCATTTTACACCAAGATAGATGTGTCTCAATAGTTTTGGCATTAGAACTGCCACTAGGTGTCACTATAAGCTAAATGATTTCAGTAAATATATATATATATATATATATATATATATATTTTAAACTGAATAAAAAAAGGATATTTACTGGACATTTATGGAATATATTATAAATTTGATCCAAATTATAAAAAAGTTATTTGACATTTTTGCTTAAAATTTTCCATATTTTTCTAAATTGTATTTTATTTCTTAAAGACTTCCATTACAGCTGGAATCTGTAAGAGTCAAATTAGGGATTAGGATTAGGGAAAAGACTGTGTTGCCTACCAAATAAAAGGGAAAAAAATAAAACTCTGTAAAACAGAGAGTTAAATTCCAAATTTGGTTTACAAAAATATATTAATGTGAAAGTTAGCTAAACAAGTAGGATTTTAGCAAAAACAAAATTTTTGAATTCCAAGCTATAGATTTCTATCTGTTAAATATAACATATAAATCAAACTGCTAAAGTTAACATGGAATACACTATATAAATATTTAGAGATAGTTCTTCTTGATCATACCACACTGAACATGAATCAGATCAAACTATTGTGTTTCTTTTAATTAGTTCAACAGCTACAAAGATATTTAGTTAGGATGCTATGTGGTTCTCAAACATTTCACACAGTACTTCAGTGAGACTTCTTCTGATTCATTTATAATCCTGTTATAGATCCCCTGCACACACTAGAAGAGAAACTTGGATCTTACTCAGAAAAGAGAAGCATCCCCTAATTTACTGACCTGTAGAATGTGTGGCTTGAAAGCCTTTTCTTTGAACAGATGCATCAGAAACAAACCGAACAAACATTTTATTTCCAGTAGCCACAAGGGGCTCTGGTATCTTGTTCCCACACAGTCGTCCAAGAATTGGTGATTTTTCCGTTTCTCCATCAAATACTTCCAAATGATCATAAGCACATTCTTGATGCTGCTCAATCTCAAACTCACTAAAAATCTATTAAAAAAGAAAGAAAGAAAGGAGAAAAAAATAAAAAAGCCACATATCACTCAAAATGGGTACTTTTCTTTGGAGCAGAAATACAGAACAATAATATGTCCAGGCCATGCAAATGATTCAATCCATCTAGCACATTATTGAAAGGGGTGTGAAATCAATAGAATATAAAGTCTCTAGGAAGACTTTATAATGAGGAAAACAATGTAATAACTTCACGTGAAATTCTATTGTACTATTTGACTATTGCAACTAATTCTACTATTGCAATTAAGTCTACTCCAGAATTTAGACAGATTATAATAACAAATGATATTTTATTCTGAATTTATTCTTAATGCATCAGAAAATTTTAAACAATTATATTTAAAAAATGAGTCCTTCTGGTGTTAATGATCATAAACTACTGAACATCATCATACCATTGAGCACTTAAACTGAAAAGAAAACTCCATAAAATAATTAAACAAGTAATTATTTTCACAGAAATTAAATATAGTAAATCTTAATAGAATACATAACACAAAGGGATTTTTCTTATACATTTCTTTATTTAGATCTTACAACCCATATTATTAGAAAACACTAATATGACTTTAAGCTAGATTATTTTTAGTTAACTGTTCAGAGAGATGGTACATTTATTTTAATATTTGGAGTCTTGCAAAGTTTAGTATGTTTTTTTATGTGTAGCAAATTCTTAAAATAAAAGTTTATTAAATATTTAACACATTAAATATAACGATGGAAAGTTTAATTGAGACTGACTGAAAATAATAATTGTCCAAACTATTAATAATTCCAGGGATTCTAGGTTATTTGCCATTGCCAATTAAGGCTTTTTCCATTCCTCATAAAAACCATCATACATTCAAGAAATAAACCATCACCCCTACTTAAGCCTATAGAGCAAAGCTAAAAAATATATAAAATAAATTGGAGGAAATATAAAATATGCTTGAAAATGTATTAATTTTGCTACAATCCCTACAGCATAAAATATTTGTACATAAACTTTCTACATACATGTTTTCCTTAATGCAGTTTTGTGAAGTGATTATAATTCTCAATTTAAAGCATACATTTTGTATTTTTGAAAGAAAAAAGTGACTAAGACAGGTTCTCCCTCACTGTTGATCACATTTATCTATTCCAACCACACTACCATCTGCTCTCACTTCTGACTTTAGAGGAGTAAGGGAAGAAATGAAGGAAGCAATTTATATTAATTAGGGAGTAGGAGAAAAGATTGAAGAGACAAAAGAAAAGGAAAAGGGCTGATCTCTCACGTCCCATTCCACTGTGCCCTACTTAAAAATATAAATTAAAATGTTATAACCGGAGGTGAGGGGGAAGATGGCGGAAGAGTAAGACGAGGAGATCACCTTCCTCCCCACAGATACATCAGAAATACATCTACACGTGGAACAACTCCTACAGAACACCCACTGAACGCTGGCAGAAGACCTCAGACGTCCCAAAAGGCAAGAAACTCCCCACGTACCTGGATAGGGCAAAAGAAAAAAAAATAAGCAGAGACAAAAGAATAGGGACGGGGCCTGCACCAGTGGGAGGGAGCTGTGAAGGAGGAAATGTTTCCACACACTAGGAAGTCCCTTTGCTGGCGGAGACTGCGGGTGGTGGAGGCGGGGAGCTTTGAAGCCATGGAGGGAGAGCGCAGCAGCAGGGGTGCGGAGAGTAAAGCAGAGAGATTCCCTCACAGAGGATCGGTGCTGAACAGCCCTCACCAGCCTGAGAGGCTTGTCTGTTCACCTGGCGGGGCAGGCGGGGCTGGGAGCTGAGGCTTAGGCTTCGGTCAGATCGCAGGGAGAGGACTGGCAGCATGAACACAGCCTGAAGGGGGCTAGTGCGCCACAGCTAGCCGGGAGGGAGTCCGGAAAAAACTCTGGACCTGCCTAAGAGGCAAGAGACTTTTTCTTCCCTCTTTGTTTCCTGGTGCGTGAGGAGAGGGGATTAAGAGTGCAGCTAAAAGGAGCTCCACAGACGGGCGTGAGCCGCGGCTATCAGCACGGGCCCCAGAGATGGGCATAAGACGCTAAGACCGCTGCAGCTGCCACCAAGAAGCCTGTGTGCGAGCACAGGTCACTCTCCACACCTCCCCTCATGGGAGCCTGTGCAGCCCGCCCCTGCCAGGGTCCCGCGATCCAGGGACAACTTCCCCGGGAGAACGCATGGTGCGCCTCAGGCTGCTGCAACGTCATGCCGTCCTCTGCCGCTTCAGGCTCTCCCCACATCCGTACCCCTCCCTTTCCCTGGCCTGAGTGAGCCAGAGGCCCCGAATCAGCTGTTACTTTAACCCTGTCCTGTCTGAGCAAACAACAGACGCCCTCAGGCGACCTACATGCAGAGGCGGGGCCGAATCCAAAGCTGAACCCCAGGAGCTGTGCAAACAAAGAAGAGAAAGGGGAATTTCTCCCAGCAGCCTCAGGAGAGGCGGATTAAATATCCAAAATCAACTTGATGTACCCTGAATCGGTGGAGTACCTGAACAGACAATAAATCATCCAAAATTGAGGAGGTGGACTTTGAGAGCAAGATATATTATTTTTTCCCCTTTTCCTCTTTTAGTGAGTGTGTATGTGTATGTTTCTGTGTGAGATTTTGTCTGTATAGCTTGGCTTTCACCATTTGTCCTAGGATCCTGTCTGTTTTATATTTTACTTAAAAAATTTTTTTCTTAATAATTCTTTTTTATTTTAATAAATTTATTTTAAATTAATTTTATTTTATTCTCTTTCTTCTTTTCTTTCTTTCTTTATACTTTTTCCCCCTTTTTTTCTGAGCTGTGTGGATGAAAGGCTCTTGGTGCTCCAGCCAGGCATCAGGACTGTGCCACTGAGGTGGGAAAGCCAACTTCAGGACACCAGTCAACAAGAGACCTCCCAGCTCCATGTAATATCAAACGGCAAAAATCTCTCAGAGATCTCCATATCAACACCAAGACCCAGCTTCACTCAATGACCAGCAAGCTACAGTGCTGGACACCATATGCCAAACAACTAGCAAAACAGGAACACAGCCCTATCCATTAGCACAGAGGCTGCCTAAAATCATAAGGTCACAGACTCCCCAAAACACACCACCAGACGTGGACCTGCCCACTAGAAAGACAAGATCCAGCCTCATCCACCAGAACACAGGCACTAGTCACCTCCATCAGGAGGCCTACACAACCCACTGAATCAACCTTAGCCACTGTGGGCAGACACCAAAAACAATGGGAACTACGAACCTGCAGCCTGCGAAAAGGGGACACCAAACACTGTAAGATAAGCAAAATGAGAAGACAGAAAAACACACAGCAGATGAAGGAACAAGATAAAAACGCACCAAACCTAACAAATGAAGAGGAAATAGGCAGTCTACCTGAAAAAGAATTCAGAATAATGATACTAAAGATGATCCAAAATCTTGGAAATAGAATAGAGAAAATGCAAGAAACATTTAACAAGGACCTAGAAGAACTAAAGAGGAAACAAGCAACAATGAACAACACAATAAATGAAATTAAAACTACTCTAGAAGGGATCAATAGCAGAATAACTGAGGCAGAAGAACGGATAAGTGACCTGGAAGATAAAATAGTGGAAATAGCTACTGAAGAGCAGAATAAAGAAAGAAGAATGAAAGGAACTGAGGACAGCCTCAGAGATGTCTGTGACAGCATTAAACACACCAATATTTGAATTATAATGGTCCCAGAAGAAGAAGAGAAAAAGAAAGGGACTGAGCAAATCTTTGAAGAGATTAGAGTTGAAAACTTCCCTAATATGGGAAAGGAAATAGTAAATCAAGTCCAGGAAGCACAGAGAGTCCCATACAAGATAAATCCAAGAAGAAACATGCCAAGACACATATTAATCAAACTATCAAAAATTAAATACAAAGAAAACATTTTAAAAGCAGCAAGGGAAAAACCACAAATAACACAAAAGGGAATCCCATAAGGTTAACAACTGATCTTTCAGCAGAAACTCTGCAAGCCAGAAGGGACTGGCAGGACATATTTAAAGTGATAAAGGAGAAAAACCTACAACCAATATTACACTAGCCAAGAAGGATCTCATTCAGATTTGATGGAGAAATTAAAACTTTTACAGACAAGGAAAAGCTGAGAGAGTTCAGAACCACAAAACCAGCTTTACAACAAATGCTAAAGGAACGTCTCTAGGCAAGAAACACAAGAGAAGGAAAAGACCTACAATAACAAACCCCAAAAAATTAAGAAAATGGGAATAGGAACATACATATCAATTATTACCTTAAATGTAAATGGATTAAATGCTCCCACCAAAAGACACAGACTGGCTGAATGGACACAAAAACAAGACCCATATATATGCTGTCTACAAGAGACCCACTTCAGACCTAGGGACACATACAGACTGAAAGTGAGGGGATGGAAAAAGGTATTCCATGCAAATGGAAATCAAAAGAAAGCTAGAGTAGCAATTCTCATATCACAGAAAATAGATTTTAAAATAAAGACTGTTACAAGAGACAAAGAAAGACACTACATAATGATCAAGGGATCGATCCAAGAAGAAGATATAACAATTGTAAATATTTATGCACCCAACATATGAGCACATCAATACATAAGGCATATACACACAGCCATAGAAGGGAAAATCGACAGTAACACTTTCATAGTATGGGATTTTAACACCCCACTTTCACCAATGGACAGGACATCCAAAATGAAAATAAATAAGGAAACACAAGCTTTAAATGATACATTAAACAAGATGGACTTAATTGATATTTATAGGACATTCCATCCAAAAACAACAGAATACACATTTATCTCAAGTGCTCATGGAACATTCTCCAGGATAGATCATATCTTGTGTCACAAATCAAGCCTTGATAAATTTAAGCAGTTGAAGTCGTATCAAGTATCTTTTCTGACCACAACGCTATTAGACTAGATATGAAAGACAGTAAAAGAGCTGTAAAATATACAAACACATGGAGGC